CTGTTTCCTTTTCAGAAAAGCCTCCAAAATTTGACAGCCGAACAGAACAAGATAAAATAAGACCAGACACATACCCTCCCATTGAGGCTGGACAAGGCAGCCCAGGGGAGGAATAGAGTCTGAGATACACCTCTCTCCCGTTAGGAGTCCCACAGAAGCCCTGACGGCCGTAAGACGCACACAGAGGACCCGGTGCAGACCTCTGCAGGCCCTGGGTTTCCTGTGTCGGTCTCTGCGAGCCCGTGTGATTCTATGGCCATGTTCTGGTGTCCTCCATTCCCTCTGATTCCTACAGTCTTTCCTCCCCCTCTTCCAGGACGTTCCCCAATCTCTGAGGGGAGGGGCCCGATGGAGACCTCCAGTTTGGACTCTCTCCATGTAATGTCTTGCTGTGATAATACAAAATCTGTTTCAAGCAATTCTCTCAACACTGTGAAGTTCCTAGGTGACCACAGTGATAGCTCTGTTTATGGTTACTGTGTTCAGTCCAGTGACGGGATCAGTAGCACATGCTCCGAGACTCTAGCACCTTCTCTCCAGTCATCAGCCAATCAGCTTCAGTCCGTACTCCATGTGCTTCCACACAACCACCCTCAGACTCCAACAAGAACCTCTGCCACTACTCACATGACCTCCCCAGACCCAGGACGCTCTGTCCTGCCTTAATGACAGTGACCCCCGAAGCACTGAGGAGCCATCTTGCCTCCTGGTCCTTTATTCACGTGACGTGACTGTTGTCCCCTTTGTATAAGTGCTTCCTACTGTACAGAAATAACTAAGACACTGGTGTCCTTAGTTCAGCTTAGCCTTTGTGCTGGCAGTGCTGGGGTTAGCATGAGCAAGAAGAACGGTTGCCCCAAAAATATTATAGGCAGGTAAAACCATCAAAAACTCCCCGGGATCCCCAAGCCAGTCTCAGGAGCATCACTTGAACAGGTTGGAATTGAAAAGGGGGGTTGGGGGCAGGAGGAAGAAGGAAAGAAAGTTTGTTCAAAATCTTACGTGGAGGCCTTTTTAAAACCACACAGTACACCTCCAAGAACGTCACATCCTCCCGACCGGCCAGACCCTGCTTCCCTGGCAGTCACAGGCCCCAGCCACCATTGCTGAAGTGAAGGGGTTTCCTTCACCAGTGCCCTGTCACACCAGAGGGAAAGAGACACTCATGTCTATAGAATGGCTCGTTGTAGGGCTTTAGTGGAATAAATTTCATTTCACCATCAAAGTGAGTGTTAAGTTTCAGCCGGTAACACTAAAGGGGCTTGTTGCTAGAGGCATCGTTTGGACTATTTTGTGTTCTATAAACACTGAGTTTCTCTTTTGTATTTCAATCTTCATTCCTCAAGTGCTTAGGTTAGTAGTTAGTTGGTCCCACTGAGGGATCGTCCACCAGGGAAGAAGTGGGAACCTGCTTGTTAGTCTGGAGCATGTCCCAAGCGTTAGACTGACTTGAACTTAGAGGGATGTGGGGAGAGACCATTCCTGTCCGTCTACAGGACCAGAGCTGTGCCCAGCCAAGCACACCTCTCCCCTGAAATCCCAGCTAATAAAGTCAAACTCTTCGCTGACTTTTAAGTGTTCCTGTCAGCCTGCATAGCAACCATTCACGTTAACATGAATGACAAGACACTTTGGATGAATAAAGTGAATTTGTCATTAAAAGTTTCCCTGGAAGTCTATGGTCCAGCAAGTAATTTTCTTTCGCTAGTATTTTAGGACTAATTCCAAATCCACCACATTTTTTCCTTAACTAAAAAATTGATGTGATTACAAACTTATAATGCATAAATAATGAGGCCGAGAACTTTTCCATCCTACACATTGTGGGGGTTTGTGGGGTGTCGTTGTTTGCTGTAATGTTGCTCATGAACTGTCCAAATAAGATTTTATATTGGAGACAGGTATGATGCCACATACAAAAAATCTCAGTACTCAAGAGACTGAGGCAGGAGGATCAGGAGTACAGGTCTATCCTGGGCTACATAGCAAGACTCTGTCTCAAAAGAAAGGAAGAATTTTTTAAATATTTTGTATCTTTAATTTGAGGAGTTTTTAAAAATTATTTTTTAACTAAACAGGTAACACAAGAAATTTCTGATAACACAAGAATTTTCAGGCTCCTTGGATCTGACAGGTATGAAGATGGCCTTTATGAAGTGACTGGTACTAAGTATGTTTTCCAGGTCCAATGTAAAGCTGGTTACTCTTTCAAGAGAGTTGAAATTTCTGCATGGTGAACACTGTTTGTTCATTTTTTAACTATTGAAAGACAATCTTCCGAGTAGCGGGAACTCACGGGCCTGTTGGGGATGTTTGCCTCAGTCTCACTGTTGAGAGTGACTTACAGCGAATGTGAACAAACAGAACTCTTTAGTTTTCATGCCAGATAAGATTTTGGACATTTATTCTGAATTACCATCAGATTCTAAACTGCAGATTGTTTTAGGATAATTAGGAAGAACCAAGTTCCCCCCACCCCCAAATTATTCGTATGTTATTGGTTTCTCCTCATCCCTCGCCCTTCACTCCCAAGTCCTAGAGCAGCTTTGATCTGGAGGTAGGCGGTGGTGGGCACCTCCCAGAGCTGGACCCAGCCCTGTAATCATAGGGCCTGGAAGTGGGTTCTGCCCATAGTCAGTGGGCAGCATTTGGAGAGGTCACTAACAGAGAGGCGGGCACGGGGATCTTGTTTTCAGCTGATGTTAGTTTTCATAAAGAAATAACTTTGTGCCCTTGTGTGTTTCTTCTTACTTCTAGGGTTGTGGTTTTGGAAAGTAGACCAACTGAGAACCCAACAGCAAATAGCAATTTATACATTTTGGCGGGTCATGAAAACAGCTACTGAAGACGTGGTGTTCTTGACAGTGACCTGTAGGGACAGTGACCAGGCTGCTGGGCGTCGGTGGACAGGCGTCGGTGGACACGTGGAGCTGTGCAGAGAGAGGCCGCAGGCCTGGCTTCAGTCCCTTCTGAGTTGTTGTGGCATGAGGCCGACAGGAGGGCTTTGTGTTTAGTGGTATGACGTATTTAGCATATTGAACCACACAAGTGCTTAATCCATTGTTCTGTAATGTTTGTACATATAAGCAGTATTTTTCTGTGAAACTTCATTTGCTGAAGACATACACTAAGAATTGATGTAGATAATGTACTTTTATGAGATGTAAAAGTGTCTTATCTGTACAGATGTAAATGTTGATTAAAATGCAACTGGGGTAAATATTTTAAGAATTCTTTAGTATATTCTTGGGTGTGGTTATATTACAAAATGGGATGCTGGCAATGAAACACATTTAACACTATTGTATTTTTATTATATGTAATTTAGTAATATGGATATAAATCTTGTAACTTTTAAAATGGTAACGAGCTGTAATCATTTTATAATCTTGTTTTCAATTTTAATGCAAGTGTACTGGTGTTTCCTTGCACAGAGTATTGCTATGTGATGGACGAGTCACAAAGAAAGCTGTGACGCCGGGAATATGCATTTGGTTCTACAACGTCTTTTTTACGTGGATTTGGATTGTTTTCTATGTGAAACAAACCGATTAACCCCCTGTTGTAGTAACTGATCTTTTTCTATTGAAGCAGAATCGTGTAAGATTGCTTGTCTGTGCTTAGGTACACATTTGAAAAAGACTTAAATCACAGAATGGCGGTACCGTGATAGAACACTGAAGTCGTCTGGGTTAGTGTGCACGAAGACAAAACAGCACTGTTCAAGAGTCCACACTAGACATTTCACAGAATCACACTGAAAAACTGTAACATTCCAGAGTGAAGTGATCAAATTTCTCATGGAATTTTTACTTTTGTTGGCCTTATTTTATTATCATTTTCTTATTTCTTTTGATTTAGAGTATTAATACATGGCCAAAATAATTTAGTTACTACCTCATATAAACATTATAATGGTTACTACACATCACAGGAACTTAGTTTGGTGAAAATCATTTTTGATTGGTTTTTTCCAATGAAATGTATCTATCTTATCGAGATAGGTATCAAGTTGTAGCAAATGCACACTTCTGGCTCTTTTGGTATATGTTCTTTATATTTTGATGTGAGTATGTATACACTAAGAACAAACTAAATTGTGATTTATGCTCTTCATTTATTCTAAGTGATAATGGTTTTAAACATGTTCCTGATTGTACATACTGTAAAATAAACATGTTTTTTAACATGCTGTTGAGTAGTTGATTGTCTTCTGGCTTAACAGCATTAAAGGGAAATGCTTTGTTTTGACTTAAATCTTAAATATCCAATTCTCCCCCAATAGTCATCGTTATTTGACCTGTATTTTTAATGTAATATTCCCGCATTTGAAAAAAGGACATCTTTTGTAGATTCTTGTATTCTTGTCAGGAAAATCAAATTCATAATGTTTTAGTTAGAACAAGAGTTGGCAATTAATATCTTAGCCAAATCTAGCCCACCCCATTTTTGTCAATAAAGTTTTATGAGAACAAGGCACCCCCTATGTATTGACCTGTTGTCTAAAGTTCATATTCAGTATCAGACTTGAGCGGTTTCAGAGGAACATTCTGGCCTGCAGAGCTAAGTGTCTCTTGTCAGGCCTTTTACAGAACATAGTTTGACATGGCCTGAGATAAGACAGCCAAGGAGTGTTGGGGAACACAGTTCTGAAGGTCAGGAATGGAAAGATGAAGTGGGAAGAACTTGGTTGGGTGACCAAGAGTTGCTGTTACAGCGACCTTGGATCATTCATTTCAGAGCCATGTCTGTGTCTAGAATCAGAGCAATTGCGGATATTATTTCCCTAATTATAAATAACCCACATTAATTTTTTAAGATTTATTTATTTATTATGTATACAGTGTTCTATTTGCATGTATCTCTGCAGGCCAGAAGAGAGCACCAGATCTCAGTACAGATGGTTGTGAGCCACCATGTGGTTGCTGGGAATTGAACTCAGGACCCCTGGAAGAGCAGTCAGTGCTCTTAACCTCTGAGCCATCTCTCCAGCTCCCAACATTATTTTTTTAATCCACTTTTATGAGAATAACCACTAACTAGCTGAAAAGCAGACTTGAGGGCAAGCTTTTGAGAAACCAGAGTCTGCTCTTCATGTTGGTGACCAGGGCAGGTGATGTCCTAAACCTCAGCTGGTGTTTACTCCACTTTCCAATACCTGTAGGCTTTGTCTTGGGAGTGTTCACCACATTAAACCGCCAAGCACTTAGAAATACTGCCCCTTCCCTGAACATGTATCTAACTGGTTGTTTATTAACCATAAGCTTTCACAAAATATCCTTGGAATCAAACTCTTTAGGAGTAAGGTCCAATAACTTTGCTTTTATGATATATAAATTATTCTGATATGCCCCACAGAGTAAGAACTGCTGGTATAGATGAAATTTAAGTCAACATTTCTGAATGTGGCCCAAGGATCACTGGTTTCAGAGAATCATTTAGGTGACAGATCCAAGACTCTGCAGAAGAGATCCACTCACACAATCTTGTCTTCATTAACATTCAGGATATCTTTCTCCTTAACTGTGTCCTGGTTTTGAAAAAGGCAGTTGTTTGTGGGTGTTTTGACATGTCTGAGTTGTGTTTTAGTAGAGACCACAAAAATGAAGGTTTAGTCGGTTCCATCATGACTAGCACAGAAGGAAAGGGTGGAGTATGGGGGTGGGTAGCCTGTAACCACTGAAAGGAAGGACTTCTAATATCTGTTGGTGATTTCCTATCTCAATCTCCAGCTTTGGAGAAAAGACAGAAATCCATCCAGGGAGTGTGTTTGGGTAAAAGGAAGGTAAATAGCAGAAGTAAAAAGTGGTCAAGCATGCCTGTAACTCCAAAGGAAGGTCACAAGTTCAAGGCCAGGCTGTGTAGAGAAGGTGCTCTCATGCATTTCCTCTCTCCCTCCATATATATGTACACACACACACACACATAAGAACATACATATACTTTATATGTATATGTATATCATACATACACAAACATTAACAAAAGACACTTCGATGGTACTTTAGGGAAAGAGAAACTTTTATATAGACAGCTGTAGACCGTGTTGGCAGAGAAAAGAAACTTTTGATATAGGGGTGGTCTGGTAGTGGAGATGTTAGAGTTTAGACACGCAGAAATGTGGCATGCTCAAGGAACAGTGACGTTGAACGCAGTGGACAAAGGACCAGGCACCGTGCTGGAGAACGAGGGTGGGCCAATGAAGAGTCTCTGTATCAAGAAGTAGCTTGGAGAAACCCGGAGTATGCACATATCACCCCAATCCTTAGTATTGGGACGTGTAACGCCAGGGCACTCAGTTCAAGTGTCTTCCTTGGCTGCATAGCAAGTTCCAGGCCAGCCTGGGAAATGTGAGATCCCATCTCACAAAAGGTGGAGAGGAGCCCAGTCATGGTGGCAAAGGCAGGCAAATCCTGAGGCCAGCCTTTTGTACTTTGCAAGTTCGAGGACAACCAGGACTGAATCGAGAGACCCTGTCTCAGAAAAATAAAAATAAAATAGGTGGCAGGCTGGAGATATGGCTCAGTGGATAAAGCGTTTTCTGTGCAAGTGTAAAGACCTGGGTTTGAATCCCTAGAACTCACCGGGCTCAACCGAAGTCATTTGTAATCCTAATGCTCTTAGGGCAAGATGGAGAGGCAGGACAATCTCCCTAAATTCACAGGCCAGCCACTCTGTCATACACAAAAGCAAAGACCCTGTCTCAAGTGAAAAGCAAGGAAGACACCCAAGGCCACACACACACACACACACACACACACACACACACACACACACACACTCACTCACAGGAATCCAGTAGAAATGGAAACAGGCCAACAGGTTTGGACATAAAGTGACTTGGTACACCTGATGAGAAATGTTTTCCAGCAGAAAGGCAGAAACCATATAAAAGCATGTAGGCGTGAGTTTAGATGAACTTAGCGGAATCGTGTGGTCTTGAAAGAGGAGCGAGATGCATGTGGTCCCTGGTTTAATTCTGTTTAAAATGTGATGTTTGAGCATACTTGTGAGAAGATCAGTGGAGAGGTAGAGGAGGAGACACCTGAAGGGAAGTTCGGACGATACGAAGAGAAGCAAAGCACATAGTAGGTGTTTTGTGTGCGTGCCTTGACGTTCGCTTTATAATGTGGGTAACGACGCAAATTCTCCTTCCAGAGGTTTGTCTCTATCCGATGATGTTTGCCTCGCTTCCTTCTACGCTGGGGTGACCAACCTTGTCCCTACTCTGAATCCGCCCGGGACTCCGGAGCATCGTTGCTGAGTTAACGAAAAAAAGGTGTTTGTTCATGAGCCAGCCATGCCTGATGCCTCAGAACCTGACTTCCAAACAGCACAAGGTAAAAGGAGCTAAGAGTGATGGATGACTAACTGAAGGCTGCCCTGGCAGGGAACGAACCGAGCGAGCTCTGGGTGGAAACCTTTGTCTGGAAGCTGCGCGGCCCTGCGCGGCCCGGTTGTCCCGGCGACGGCGACGCTGCTGCAGCTGAGTCTCTCGGGAGTTCCCGTAGCTGCAGCAGACGGATGGACAGACGGCGCGGGCTGGGGTTGCTCACGGCTATACACTGCGCCACCCTCGCCACACCGAGTCTGTGCTGTAAGTGCGGGTTCCTAGGCTAGGGATGGTGGAAAGAGCGGGGTCTGCGGGGCTCCGGAGGACGGGAGCGGGCGCACCCCCGGGAGGGCCGGCCCCTCGTGGGCCGTGGGGATGCCCGGGAGGGTCACGGGCGGGCACGCCTGTGCATCTCGAGACCGCGTGTGGCCTGGGCGCAGGGAAAAGTCAGTGACTGGCTCAGAGGCTTGGAAACGAAACGAGTGCCTCCCGAACTTCCAGGTCTCTTGTGCGCACACCTGAAGCGTGGGGCATAAACAAAACGTTGTGCAGATTCTGTAAACGACGCGGCGAGCTAGTTTCGAGTGTTCTAACGAGATCGACTGTGTTGACCCGAACACCTCCCTACGCAGGTGTGTGCGTTTTAAATTGTAACTCGGTGAGGCAGATCGCAATGCTCCGTCTGTGGAGTCCATTTTCCCCGTCGAGTTTATTAAACATAAATGCGTCTTTGGTTTCACTGGAAACCGGTGACAGTTAGCAGTGGGCAGCATCCCTGAGTGATCTTCCCTGTCCTTTTCTTTCCCCTCAACATTCCCAAAGCCAGGCTTTGGTTTGGTTGATTAATTTGTTTTTAAGTTTCCTGTTAGATCTTCGATTAGGAAAGTCGGTTTTTCTACCTTATTTTTTTCCTGCTCACCACTTCCTCCCTGTCTTAATTTGTTTGCCTGTGTATTCCTTGTGCTTCCTTAAGCCCTCGGGACTCTAAAGTGAAACAGTCGTGAAAATGATCCTCCAAGTGTTCTTTCCTCCTGTGAACCTTATTCTGTAAATCCTTAGCAGTAAGGAAATTCCATGGAAGCTTTCCAATGAATTTAAAATTTTCAGTTAAGTATCTTTTTGCAGTCGTGGGTGGCCCCCAGCCTGCTCCTGCTCCTGTTTTAGTAGACAGAACTCCATTAACTCAAGAGTCAAATACTTTATGAATTCTGGAGTTAGCATGGAAGGTATACCCCTTCAAGCTGAAGGTGACTGATAACTATGCGAAAACATTTTCCATCAATGGCTGTGTCTATCCATTTAATCTTGCCCAAATATTGTGCTAATAATAATCAACATGTACGATGGCTTTTGCTTTTTAAAGGAGAAAAAGGAAGATTAGAAAGTGAAACTCTAATAAGACTTAAAAGCCTTCTGTATGCCAGAGAATAGGGAGGGTATCGATGGAAATCCAGTGTGATGAGTAATGTAAGGGGATGTAAGCATCATGTGTGTCCAGAAAAGAGCCCTGCCTTTGGGGACTGGGGCATTTGAGTTGAACTGTGAAAAATGAAGAGATTGGAAATACGATCCTGAAGGCTGAGAAATAAGAGAGGAGGCTGAAGGTGTTTGGGAAGAATCTGAGAGACAAAACAGGAAAGCTGAATCAGGGTGAGGTAGGAAGAATTGTAAATATCATTGCTATCGTTTGAAGTTTACTCTGTGGCCTTTAGAGGCCATAATGTACTTTAAAGAAAAAAAAATGTACTGGGGGATTGAGATCACTCAGTGCCTAGGAATGCTTGCTGTCCCTTCAGAGGACCTGAGTCTGGTTCCCAGTTCCCCGGCTGGGCAACTCACAACCACCTTAACCATTCCAGGGCGGTGGCTCTCAGCCTTCCTAATGCTTCAGCCCTTCAATACAGTTCCTCACGTTGTGGGGACCCCAACTATAAACTTACTTTTTGTTGCTACTTCATAGCTGTAATTTTGCTACTGTTATGGATAGTGATGTAAATGTCTGTGTTTTCCAATGGTCCTGGGAGACCCCTGTGAAAAGGGTCGTTCGATGTCCCAAGAGGGATCATGACACACAGGTTGAGAACCACAGTTCTAGGGGACACCCTGCTCTGGCCTCTATGGACACCCACACACATGATGCATGCACACACACAAATACACAAATCACACATTCACACACACACACACACACACACCCAAATAAAAACAAATCTTCTTAAAACTTTATTATTGATGTGTGAGCATGCCACAGTGTGTGTGCAGAGGTCACAGGATGGCTTTGTGGAGTTAATTCTTCCACCTTTATAGGAACTCGGGGGATTGAACTCACATCCCAAGGCTTGCCTGGCTAGTGCTGTAGGAAGCTGTTGAGGCCTCTTCCTCCTCCTCCTCTTCTTTTTATTTTAACATCACCACAGTACAGATGACCACAATCAAGAAATTTAAAGTCAAATCCACATACGGTGTTGAGATGTTTCCAGTTGCCCTGGTATTGCTCTTTGCATCCCTTTCCCCCCACTGCAGAAGGGAATTCGGGATCTCACACTGCATTTCCTTTCCAGTCTCTGTGAATCTGGAGCAGTGTTTTGACCTTTGTCCTTCCTGACCTTGGCATTCTCAGGAAGGGTACAGGCTGTTCCATTATGACGATGCCTGCCAAACACCAACACAGCGGAGATGCTGTGTCTCCTAGGGGTCTTGTATTTTCTAGAAACTTTATGTCTCTAGAAGTGTACCATATGTGTGGGTGGGTGTGTCTCTGACTACTCTGACCTAGCTTTACGTTCTTAGATTTTGGATTTTGTTTATTTTGTCTTGTTTCTTCTGTTTTTAATGTGTTTTGTTTGTTGTATTGGGGGGGGGGGTGGAAGGGTCAGTGTTTTGAAATAGGGTCTTGCAACATAACCCAGGCTAGCCTCCGGTTCTCAATCCTCCTTCCTCAGCCTCCCAAGTAAAAGTGGAACCTCGCTATGCCCTATGAGGTCACTGTCTCAGGAGGCCCATTTATTATTCCTTTCCTATGGCTATTCAGTTGTCCTGACATCATTTGCTGGAGAGTCTTCTGTCCCCACTGAAGCACTTTGGCACCATGATCGAAAGACAATTAGCAAGAGCTGCGGCGACTTGAAATTGCCGGGACACTCCCAAACGTACGTTGAAATGTAATTACCGTTGGCCGTGTCGGGAGATGGGACCTTCAAGAGGTAATTAGGCCCTGAGGCCTCATGGGTGGGTTGCATGCAGTTATTAATCAATGCATGAGTTCAGCCCTCCTTTGCTCTTCGCTTCCACCTCCCATCATTTGACAGAGCAAGCAAAGGCCGGTGTCTTCATACTGGACTTCCCAGACTCCAGAACTTTAAGTCAGTACATGTCTATCCATTATGAATCATCCAGTCTCAGGTGTGCTATTAGAGCACCACAAGATAAACTAAAGCAAACATAAAAGGCTACTTCTTGACTCAGTGCTATGTTCCATGGATATATATGTCTTTTTCCTTTTGTTTTGTTTTTCTAGACAGGGTTTCTCTGTGTAACAATCCTGGCTGTCCGGGAACTCATTCTGTAGACCAGGCAGACCTCGAACTCACAGAGATCCTCCTGACTCTGCCTCCCTAATGCTGGAATTAAAGGCGTGCGCCACCACTGCTGTGTTGATAATATGTATTTATGCCTCACTTGATTTATTATACCTTTATTAAAGTAAATTGTAGCATTAGTAAAATTTGAGTGCAGGTGATATAAATCTCCCAGGTTTGTATTTATTGTGGCTATTCAGAATCCTGAGCATTGTCATATAAATTTCAAATTCATCTGATCAACTTCTATTTTTAAAAAAGCCTATTGACAGCCAGGAATGGTAGTTCATGCTTGTAATCATTAGCTGGGCAGCGGAGGCAGGAGGATTGCCGCAGTTTGAGGTGGCGGTGGTGGCGGCGGCGGCGGCGGCGGCAGCGGCACACACACACCTTTAATCCCAGCACTAGTCAGGTAAAAGGTAGGCAGGTGGATCTCTGTGAGTTCCAGGGATACGTAATGAGACTTTGACTTAAAAAGAAGGAAAGGAAGAAAAGGAGGGAGGAAGGGAGGGAGGGAGGGAGGGAGGGAGGAAGGAAGGAAGGAAGGAAGGAAGGAAGGAAGGAAGGAAGGAAGGAAGGAAGGAAG